ATATATTCTTACAATATAATGGCTGACAGTATTTTTTTTTGCCTAATATTGATCTAAGAGTTGAAGCCTTAAATTCTATTTCCATTTCATGAATTATGTTTTTTAAGTCAGGATTAAATTTATAACTGTGTATTCTAATTACTTACCCTGAGGTTATTGATACAGACACAATACCCTACAGTAGCCATATCTTATTGTGCTAGATTTTAAACACACATGAATTAATTACCTAGAGGATGCAAAACCAAAATATAAGCAAGGCAGCTGAAAACGTACAAATGGAAACCAAAAACTGACTGTAAAATTCATGGGGATAGACGGCAAGTGTTCTCAGCACACTAGAGGCTTAGTCATTTGCCTCTATCTCACAGAATTAAATGTCTTGATTCCACCTTGTTGTGAATCTGTCCTTAGTCTACATATGTGCTAAATGTACAAAATTTGAAGTGCTCTTGCTTAAGCAGTGTCACTATTAAGTATGGGCAAGGGATTGGGGAGCAGAAAGGGAGGGGTACTGAAATGTGGTGGTCTGCTGCTAATAAAGCACTACTGAGTGAAGAAAAGAAAGTCATAATTAAAAAAAAATATTCAGGAATCCTTCTTTAGGCTAGTAACAGCAGAAAAGGCTCGAGTTTGCTTACTGTTTTGTGACTTGTCAGTTCAGTATAAACAGGAACAGTAGCAAGCATAATACATTTTTTAAGCCCCAGTATCATACTCAGCTCACCTGTTCACTCCTTCCAGGAAGAGAAAGGAGGTACGCTTAGGACTACAACAAATCTAAGGAGACTCCCCACTATACCTAAGCATTCCTCTGCACCTCTGCAACAGGAAGTACAGTTGCTACAGCCTAGATAAAAGCTGTGAATGCCTATGTAAAATGCTGTAAATAGGTGAATGACAGTAACTGATTAGAAGAGTTCAGTGAGGGTTGCTTCACACCAGAAGAGGGGAAAAGCAAACATCATTCCCGTGTTTCTTAATATACTCCTTCTCTGAAGTAATGCAGATCAGCATTATTTTCATCTAAATCATATTTGTTATCTTCTTCTCAACCAAAAAAAAAACCAAGCCAAAGAAAAACCAACCCCCCAAAAGACACAGATTTGATATTGACCATGAAAACATCTAGGTACAGTATTAGAAACAATATTTGAGGAGTCAGGATAATGAGTTCCTCTTTTAAGCTTTTAATATGACCACAGAGAGCAAAACACTCCTTTGGTTTTATGATGGAATATAATTCCATCATTATTAAATAGACTGAGGGAAGCTACTCCTTCCCAGTTTAGTAGCACAATAGAGATAAACTACTTATTATATGTTCTAATATGGCACATTTTTTTTTAAAGAGTATGTAGAAATTATGCTTGCATTTCCTATATAAAAGGACAAAAGAAAATAAAATTTTAACACCCCCCCTTTCTTTCCCCCCCCCCAGAAAAAATGAAACCATTCTTTATGTGTTAGTCTGGTAATTATTCCAGCTCAGGATGTTCTTATACTGTGACATTTATAACATCCTTAGACAAGGATTGCTCCTTACTTTCATAAATTCTAATTCAGAATCTCATCTGTTTTCAGTATAGATTTAGACCCATAAAACAACAGCTAAAGATTGAAAAACTTGATCTGCAGTACAAGAGAAAGGTGATTTTCTTACTAATTAAGGTAGCAGAAATTTAAAACTATAATTATACTAAAGGATATTTTGTAAAAAATAAGGAAAAAATCCCCACAGCAGTAACTCCAAATGAGAAAAATTAATACAAGTCATAGAATCATAGAATCGTTTAGGTCAGAAAAGACCCTTAAGATCATCGAGTGAGGGGCCCCTACACCTAACACTGCCAAGTCCAGCCCTAAACCGTGTCCCTAAGCACCACGTATACTCATCTTCTAAAAGCCTCCGGGGACGGTGACTCAGCCACTTCCCTGGGCAGCCTGTTCCAGTGTTTGACAACCCTTTCAGTGAAGAAATCTGCCCTAATATCCAACCTAAACCTCCCCTGGCCCATCCTGAGGCTGTTTCCAATTGTCCTATCACTTGCTACTTGGGAGAAGAGACCGACACCCACCTCGCCACAACCTCCTTTCAGGCAGTTGTAGAGAGCGATAAGGTCTGCCCTCAGCCTCCTTTCCTCCAGACGAAACAACCCCAGGTCCCTCAGCCGCTCCTCTCAGGACCTGTTCTCTAGACTCTTCACCAGCTTCCTTGCTCTTCTTTGGACGTGCTCCAGCACCTCAGTGTCTTTCTTGTAGTCAGGGGCCCAAAACCAAACAGTAGTTTGGTAGTCGAGGTGCGGCCTCACCAGTGCCGAGTACAAAGGGACAATCACTTCCCTAGCCCTGCTGGCCACGCTATTTCTGATCCAAGCCAGGAGGCTACTGGCCACCTTGGCCACCTGGGCACACTGCCGCTCATATTCAGCCAGCTGTCGACCAACACCCCCAGGTCCTTTTCCGACAGGCAGCTTTCCAGACACTCTTCCCCAAGCCTGTAACGTTGCATGGGGTTGTTGCGACCCAAGTGCAGGACCCGGCACTTGGCCTTGTTGAACCTCGTACAATTGGCCTTGGCCCATCGATCCAGTCACAATCTAATATAAAAGTAATAATATAAAAAACATTCTATTCCACCTTCTGCTGAATATGTGCTTACACACTCAAAATTTATTATGTAAAAATCGGTATCAAAACTCCCATTTAAGAAATGGGAGGTAGAAAGCAAAATACAAACCAAATGTATTAAAAAACCTGACAGCACAGATATTCTGGAAAATTCCCTAACACCAGTAAGAGATTTCAAAACATTAAAACTTCTGAAGTAAAGTTTATACAAGTTTCAATGCAAATAAAACACAACGATAAATGAACAGCATGAAAATAATGAGAATTTAAAATAATTCAAAGAAACCTCAGTCATCGCAAGAAAATAAAATACACAAACATATGCATAGAAAGTAGTTTATACAAATCGAAGGAGGGGGACAAAAGCTTTCCAATTGTTCGAACATGTACATCGTTGGGATTTTTTTTTTTTTTTTGCGGGGGGTAATTTTTTGTTTACTTTGTAGACCTTACAGCACTGTTCAGGAGGTAACAGGAAGCGATGTCCTAACATGAT